TATATATACTTTACGAGGTCTATGCCGAATATTTAGAGGTGCTGTACAGACGGAATGACAAATTTACTATTTATTTAATTTATTGTTGAAATCACGTTACAGCTCACATTATTTGGCGTAGAGCTTTAAAATTTGGCACCGTTGTTTGCTTTGTGTCTAGTCTGGTTGGTATTGAAAATGAGATATCTCGCTCCAAATTTTAGAATAGCACCCATATAACGGTACCTCCCGATATTAGGTATTTTGATATTTTTAGACATATTTTCACCGGTTTGTCTAAAAATTATTATTTGTAGTTCGTTATGGGTTCTAGCTCTAGTGACGGAACATTGTACATATAGGTGCACGATTTCGTATAGCCCCAATACATCGGTACCTCTCGATATTCGGTATTTTGATAATTTTCGATATATTTTTTCGCGGATTTTTCTAAAAATATATATTTGTTGTTCGTAATGGGTTCTAGTTCCGGTAGCAGAACATTGAATATCCAGATATTCATTTTCCTATGAATACCTTTTCCTATAGCGCACATATAACGGCATTTTGACGATTTAAGCCACATTTTTTAATAGACTTATGTGAAGTTTGGTATTTTTACTTAATAATGGGTTCAACATCCGGCTTCAGAACATTGTCCATATTGGTCCTAGTCACTATTACCCACGAAATTATGTAAAAGTTGATATTTAAATCCCACAATATATTACAATCGTTGTACTACAAAATTGTTTATATAGCCTCCAACCATTCTCCTTCCGATTTTACTGGAGTTTGTAGTTTAAAGTGGAACACATTTGAATCCAGATACTTTTGCATAATTGTTCTTTACCCACTGGCGGAGGGTATTACAAGTTCGGCCCAGCCGAGATTAATGTCTTTTTACTTTTCAGCTCCACTTTTACACCCACAGTGTAGTTATTCAGAAATTTGGTGGATTTTTTTTTTGTTAAAAAAAACATTTTAACAAATATTAGAAATCTCACCAAACCTTTAAGAGAAATTATTCAACAAATTTGATATCATACTTAAGAATAATAAACATAGCGAAAATTTTCTGGACTTTTTATTACGAAAAATATCGCAAAGTGTAGTTATACAAAGATTTGATTGCATATTTATACCCTCCACCAAAAAAAGTATGGAGGGTATATTAAGTTCGTCATTCCGTTTGTAACTCATCGAAATAATCATTTTAGACCCAACAAAGTATATACATTCTTGATCAGCGTAAAATTCTAAGACGATTTAGCCCTGTCCGTCCGTCTGTCCGTCAGTTGTAATCACGCTACAGTCTAAACGAATTAAGATAGGAAGCTAAAATTTTGCACAGATCTCTCTTTTGTCTGCAGGCAGGTCAAGTTCGAAGATGGGCATATAACGGTACCCCCCGATATTCGGTATTTTGATTATTTTACCCACATTTTTCAACGGAATTGTCTGAAAATCCACACAAGGAGTTCCTTGTGGGTACTTTGTACCTCGGCAGAGAATTATCTATATAGGTCCACGATATCGTATAGCCCGGTACCCCCGATATTCGGTATTTTGATCTTTTTAGCCATATTTTTCAACGGAATGGTCCCAAGGGGTTCTTTGTACACAAGGGGTTCTTTGTGAGCACTTTACCCCCCGACAGAGAATTCTCTATATAGGTTAACGATAACGTATAGCTCCCATATAACGGTACCCCCCGATATTCGGTATTTTTATGATTTTACCCACATTTTTCATCGGAATTGTCTGAAAATCCACACAAGGAGTTCCTTGTGGGTACTTTATACCTCGATTATATATAATTTGAGCCACTTTTTTCAATGAAATTATCCACACAAGGAGTTGCTTGTGAGTACTTTACACGCAGACATAGATTTGTCTTTATAGATCCATATCCCCCATATATCGGCACCTTCCTATATTAGATATTTTAAAGATTTTAAAAGAATTTTTAATGGATTTTATTTTTTTGAAAATTTTCTAATTCGTTCCAAATGGTGGAGGGTATTCAAAGTTCGGCCCGGCCGAACTTACTGCTTTTTTACTAGTTTTTAATAATCTCCAACATTTTAAAGGAAGTTAAAAAATTTAAAAATAAATCCATAGAAAATACCTCTCAAATGAAACCCCTTATATGGGGGCTATACGAAGACGTCAGAGGCTGTAGTACCGATTCCGAACTTCAAATACGGAAATTGAAATAATTCCCATGTATAACGCCGTTAAAATCATCAAAAGACCGAATATCGAGATGATGTTGGCTATACAAAAACGTGGATTCATTACGAACTTTTAATACCAAATGTGAAACATTTTCGGTAAATAGTGTCGCTAAAATCATCAAAGTATCAAATATCGGGAGGCCCGTTATATGGGTGCTATACGAAGAGATGGATCTGCACAGACAATTTTCTGTCTTAGGCTGTAGTATCCATTACGAACTTTAAATAGCAAATTTTAAACATTTCCGGTGAATAATGTCGCTGAAGTCACCGAAATACCGAAAATAGGGAAGTACCATTATATGGTGCTCTACCAAAACGTAGAGCCCATTCTCAATACCAAAAGTTCTGCAGACCAACATTTGAGTAAAATTTAATAATCCTAATTCAATTTGTTCGGATGCTAGATTTAATTCCACAGACGGATGGACATCGCTAAATCGACATAGAATTTTATGCTGACCAAGAATATACACTGGTGGCCAAAACTAAAGCAACTGAAATTACAAGGAGAATCAATGCCCTGTAACTTTTTCAAAAATTAAGAAAATGAGAAAGTTTTTCTTGTTTTAAATTAGGTACTTTATTCACTTTTTAAAAACCTAAAACATAAAACCAAAATTCATTTTTATATAAAAAATAATGTTTGGTACAGTCAATCAACCCGATTTTGGCTTGGACAAAACAAAAGCAACTCTGTTGTACATTCATATAACAGCTGCAATTTTAGTTGTTTTTACTGTGGTATTTATCGCTTTTTGCTTCCTTCAACAATTTCGCTTGTCATAAATCCTTTTTGAGAAGTTTTTTACAACAGTATGTGTTTTTCTTTTCGTTTTTTAAGTACTGCCCAAAAAATTTTTAAAAATGACTAAAAGCAAATACAGTACGTGAATAAAACAGCAAATTATCAGTGACTATCGAAACAACATATCACAGAAAATGATTTCCGAGAAATATTTCATAAATATTTATGTGATTTCATAATTATTTCTGTATACTAAGTCGGTTTTTTGAAACTGGATCAGTAGTAACAGTCTATAACGGATGAAGGCCGTGAAAAACTTCAGCTCGTACTGATCCACAAATTGTGAGAGAAATAAAAAACAACTATTTAAGAGTTCAACTGGATTGGTGAGAGAGCAATCATTGGATATAAGCTCGAGATCAGTGCGTAGACGAGTAGTGGCAGCTGGTCTGCATGCCCGTAAGACATCAAAAAACCATTTATGTCTGAAAAAATCAAAAAGGCATTCGGAAACGATAATATTAAGTGGAATCAAGCTCAATGGAAAAAACATTATTTCTGGGATGAGTCTACGTTTAATATTAAAGGCTCAGACGTGAAAAATTTTACGGTGAGAAGACCAAAAAATGAAGGACTCAAGCCGCAGTGTTGCAAAGGTACAGTGAAGCATGAGGGAGGGTCAAAAATGGCGTGGCGCTGTTTTTCTTTCTATGGACTTGGGACTATGAATGAAATAAAGGAAGTTATGGATCGGTTTGTTTACAAAGATGTGTTGGACATCACGTTGTTCCCTTACGATGATTAAAATATTCGGCTCATTTAGGTGTTTCAGTATGACAATGATCCCAAACTTGCATCAAAACATGTCAAATATTTGTTGCGGGAGTCAAAAATCGATGTTTTGTCATGGCCGGCACAATCACCTGATCTAAACTCCATAGAAAACCTATGGATTATCGTAGATAGGAAGATCAAGCGAAATTCGGAAACAAATAAGCACAACATTTTCTAAATAATTCGGAGTGCCTGGAAAAGCATACTCAAGCATCAAATTGAGCGTGTTATAGATTCAATGCCTCGTAGGTGTGCAGCTGCTATCAAAAATAATGGATGCTATCGACTATTAGCCAAAATTTAATTATTTTAAAATAAAAAATCAAAAAGTTGCTTTAGTTTTGACCAAGCATAAATTGGGTCATTTTAGTGTTCCAAATATTATTTTTCGTTCAAAATTATTTTTGTATTTTTATTTTTAGTTTCTTAAAAGTGAATTAAACCCCTCATTTAAAACTGGAAAAATAATTACAATTTGTTTATTTTTGTAAAACTTACAGGACATTTATTGTCTTTGCGATTTTAGTTGCTTTAGTTTTGGCCACCAGTGTATATGTAAATAGTGTGTGGAGTCTAAAATGTATATTTCGTGGTGTTACAAACGGAATGACAAACTTAATATACCTTTCATACTATGGTGAAGGATAGAATAAACATAATGATAATTTTCTGGAATTTGTATTAGGAAATATATGAAATATAAAAGTAGCAAAACGATAACGTGGAATTACTTCAATTGGGCTCGTCCGGGATTTGAACCCGGGACCTCCCGCACCCTAAGCGGAAATCATACCCCTAGACCAACGAGCCAGTTAGAGATTAATGGAAATAACAAAACTTTTCACCATTCTGACTCACTTAGCAATACTATGCTCGCAATATGAGACCATCAGCTGTGGTGAATGGCTCATATTCTCACCACATGCTGTCTGTATTGATTTCATAACATATACTCAATAGATGTCACTGAGGTATAATATACGGTAAGAAACATCTCTTCGCGACATCTGTTAGAAAAAGGTAAGGAAATCACTTGTCATCGAATATATTTTTGTCAATCCTTTACTTCGGAGCAAATGTTGCTGCGACATCTGTTAGTAACCGATATTCACTAGTCTATGACAGCCACTCTAGAAGATTAAAACTTGGTGATTCCCCGGAATATTTCAATAAATCGTATCAGACACATCGGTAAAGCAACACAGAGCAATCAAACATCAGTAGCGAGGTATTTGTAAACACGTTTAGTTCTCTTAAAGCTGTAGCAACTCAAGTTCGCAAGCAGATTGGCAAAATTACAATAATGGACAAAAAAGCCGAAAAAACATCCACAACTGTAACAAAAGCGGATTCATCAGCAGAAATTAGGTAAGAATGTGCGGAGTAAAACTACAATTTTGTGCAAGAAAAGTTCTTAAATATCGAAATAATATCTATTCAATGATAATTGTTATGCGAATTAGGAATACATACATACATATGTGTACAAGGTGAAGTCACAAAAAATGGAGATTAATTGAAAAAAGTAAAATTTAAGATATTATATAACACATAATTCTACTTCGGTACCGAAAAGTTCAAAGTCATACGCTTTTTAGTTTTCCAATTACACAGTGCTAAGCTTGAGAAATATTTCACTTTTTCGCAAGAAGAAGGAAAAAATTGGTTTTGGTTTTTTGTTCAGTTTTTGTTATACCCTCCACCACAATATCTTGGGAATATTAAGTTCGTCATTTCGTTTGTGCCACCTCGAAATATACACTTTAGAAAAGTATATATATTCTTGATCAGCATAAAATTTTATGTTGATTTAGCGATGTCTGTCCGTCTGTGGAAATCACTCTAGCTTCCGAACGAAATTAAGTATGTTGATAAAATTTTATTGAAAAATATGTTATGTCTGCAGAACTTTTTGTATTGAAAATGGGCCATACAGGTCCACGTTTTGGTATAGCACCATATAATGCTACCTCATTGTTTTCGGTAATTTAGCGACATTATTCACCGGAAATGTTTTAAATTTGGTATTAGAAGTTCAAAATGGATACTACATCCTAAGATAGAAAATTGCCGGCGCAGGTCAACGTCTTCGTATTGCCCCCACAAAGGGTCAAAATTTTCGGTATTTTGATAATTTTAGTGAAATTATTCACCGGAATTGTTTCAAATTTTGTATTTGAGGTTCGTTTTGGATACTACAGGCTATGACAGAAAATTGTCTGTGCAGGTCCAAGTTATGATATAGCCCCCATATAATTGAGCCTCTATTCAGTATTTTGATGATTTTAGCGAAATTATTCACCGATTTTTTTTCAAGTTTCGCATTTGACTATTATAATGACTTATTAGAAAAGTAGCCTATTCATGTCCACGTCGTTGTATAGAACCTAATAAAATGGCTATTTTTTTTAGATTTTTATATATTTTTAAGATTTCAATAGAATTTATAACGGACTTTACTTTTTTTTTTTTTTGAAATTGTCAAATACGTTCTAAATGGTGGAGGGTCTTTCAAGTTCGGCCCGGCCTACTTACTTATAAGATTTTTACTTGTTTTCTCATCAAAAGTGATAGTTTTTAAATCGAAACATCGAATGCAGGTAGTTATCGGTGTTTTTGATTAAAAAGTTTTTAAAAACAGTGTGGCAAAAATATTTAAAAAAAATTAATTCAAAATATGACCACATATTCGCAATATTCGTAAAGTGTATGGATTTTAAAAAAATGATATCGAGAAGGTCCTAAAATTTTAATTCTGTATTTTAGTATGCAATGTCATAATTCATAATCTACAGAAAACTCGTGCCCTTTTTTTACGTTTTTGTTTTATTTAAAAATGATGAAAATAGTCAACTGATTTTGAGGTGAGTGTACTTTCATCTACTTCTCTGTTTTCTTTGTTATTGTTGTCCTTTTTAAGGATTGTCATCTACCAAATCTTCTTCAATACCAAATTTGATACAGTTTCGTGGGTAAAAGTGACTAGCATTATCAAAATACCGAGTATCGGTGGGTATTGTTATATGTGCGCTATAGGAAAACGTGGACCGTGGAGGTTTGCCGGCGGATCTAGAACCCATTATGAACCAATTTTCTTTAGACGAATCTGTGAAAAGATGTGGCAAAAATCATCAAAAACCAAATGCCGGAAGGTACAGTTATATGGGGTCTATACAAAAATGTGGTCGTATACATACAATGTTCCGACACCGGAGCTAGAACCCATTATGACCTACAAATACCAAATTTTAGAAAAATCCATGAAAAAAATGCGGTACATAGGACCACGTTTTGGTATAGCCGCCACCCGATATTAGGTATTTTGATGATTTTTGTCACATTTTTTTTTATAGATTTGTCGAAAAACTGGTATTTGTAGGTTATAATGGATTCTAAACCCGGCGGTGAAACAATATATATGGGACCACGTTTTGGTATAGCCGCAATATAACGGTGCCTCCCGATATTCGGTATTTTGATGATTTTGCCACATTTTTCCACGGTTTTGTCTAAAAGTTGGTATTTGTAGGTCATAATGGATTCTAGCTTCGGTGGCGAAATATTGTACATACAGGTCCACGTTATTGCATAGCCTCCATATAACGGTACCTCCCGATAATCGGTATATTGATGATTTTCAACACATTTTTCCACGAATTTCTCTAAAAATTGGTAATTGTAGTTCCATTCAATCCTTGAAGTATAAAATTGTCTATAGAGGGTTCCGTTTGGGTATGGCCCCCATATGGTTTTTTATGGTTTTTTTTATGTTTTTTTTTTTTCAATGATTAACAGCATTACCCAAACGGTCTTACCAGTATTTGTAGTTTAAAGTGAACACGGTTTAATTCAGATACTTTTATAGAAAATTTTTTTCTTTAGTCAAAAACGGTGGGTATCAAAAGTTCGACCCGGCCGTTCTTTTTTTCATATTTTAATTAGGTTTATTTCAGATAGGAAGCCTTAATTTTATCTACAAATTTAAGAAGGTTTTTTAAAGGATAAACTGTTTTTTCTGCCTTAACTCAAATGTTGTTTTATGAAAATCCAAAAAAAAAAAAAACAATTAAAAAAAGCTGTAAGTTCCGGCCGGGCCGAACTTTGAATACCCTCCACCATTTAGTACAAATTTAGCAACTTTGTCTTAAGAATACCGAATGTAGCCGTATATTAGGGTCTATTCGACGACGTGGACCTGCATAGGCAACTTTTGTAATAAGCTATTACAATATTCAAATACGAAATTTGAAGAAGAAAATTAGTTTATAATGTAGCTAAAATCATCAAAATACCGAATATAGGGAGGTACCTGGGGGTATATGGGGGCTATACGAAGACGTGGACCTGCACAGACATATCTCTGTCATAGGCTCTAGTATGTATTACGAACTTCAAATACCAAATTTGAAACAATTCCGGTAAAAAAATACCGAATATGGGGGGCTGTACGAAAACGTGGACCTGCACAGACAAATCTCTGGCATAGGCTGTGGTATGTATTACGAACTTCAAATACCAAATTTGAAATAGTTCCGATAAATAATGTGTCTAAAATCATCAAAATACCCAATATCGGGAGGTACCGTTATATGGGGGCTATACGAAGACGTTGACCTACATGACCCATTTTTATACCCTACATTACAAGGTGGTCAGGGTATTATGTCTTTGTGCATTTGTTTGTAACAGGCAAAAGGAAACGAGATAGACCCATAGTTCCTTTTGATGATGTGCATAGAATCACTTTCTGAGTTGATTTATGCATGTCAGTCCGTCTGTCCATGTATTCTTGTGAACAAAATGCAGGTCGTATTTATTATCCGATTGAGATGAAATTTTGCAAACAACATTTGTTTGACCTAAGGACGAACCCTATTGAAATTGGGGATAGTCGGTAAAAAATTAGATATAGCTCCCATATATAACTTCGTCCGATTTGCCTTTTATTGTGCACCAAACGTGTAATATCAGCCCGAATAGTATGGAATTTTGCACATACAACCAAATTAGGCCTGAAAATAAATATGCCAAATTTTATCGAAATCGGTTCAGATATAGCTATAGCTCCCATATATATTGTTCATCCGATTTATTGTATTTGTTACCCACAGCCGTAATATGCACTCCGTAACAACGATATTCAGGGAAATATATCGAATACAGGTCAGAAATATCTTTGCCAAATTTTATCGAGATCGGTTCAGATTTGGATATAGTTCCCATATATATTTTTATCCGATTTCAAATTATTTTCGCACCAAATGGGCAATACAAGTCCGAATTTAAAAGATACAAATGCTTCGGCATATTTAGTCCTTTGAATTTTAAATTATAATTATAATCATAGCGTGTATGATTGAATTCTCCCATAAAAACTTTTAATTATTAAGTGGAGCTCAACTAAATTAGCAAAGTGGTGTAGGGTATCATAAATTCGGCCCCGCCCGACTTTAGGACTTTCTTTACTGGTTTATCTTATGCTGTAGTATCTATTACAAACTTCAAATTCCAAATTTGAAACAATTCCAGTAAATAATGTCATCAAAATATGGAATATCGGGAGGTACCGTTATATGGGGGTTATACGAAGACGGAAGCTAGAGTGATTTCCACAGACGGACGGACATCGCTAAATCGAAATAGAATTTTATGCTGATCAAGAATATATATACTTTGTGGGGTCTGTAAAGTATATTTCGAGGTGTTACAAACGGAATGACAAACAACGGAATGGCAGAGACCTACGTTGTAGGTGGTTTTATATAGGCAATTTCTGAGAAACAAAATACCAAATAAGAACTTTGTAAAAAACTCTGACTGTCACCCTCAATATACCTAAAATTAGAATTTACCATTATAAAGGGTTTATATAGAATAATGGACTTACCTTTATGGAATTTTGCACGAAGAGATTCTCAAAATATATTAAATTTGGAAGTGCCGTTATATATGGTAAATACATAATAGTCGAATAATATTCACAAAATTTGGCAGGGAGAGATTATGATTGGATTTGAAATTGTGGCCGAAACCTTCAAACATTTTTCAAAGAAAATCCACACATGGAATTCCTTCTGAGTACTTTACCCCCTGGAAGAGTATTCTCTATATAGGTCCATGATATCGTATATCTCCCATAAAACAGCACCTCCCTATATTCAGTATTTTAATGATTTTAGCTACATTTTACAATGGTATTGTCTAAATATCCACACTAGAAGTTTTTCTAAGCACTTTACCCCTTGGAAGGAAATTGTCGATATAGGTTCACGATATCGTATAGCCCACATACAACGGTACCCCCCGTTCCATATTTTGATGATTTTAAAGATGGTACTCACCGGAGTTGCTTCAAATTTTGTATTTAGAATTCGTAATGGGAACTACAGCCTATGTCAGAAAATTGTATATGCAGGTCCAGGTCTTGGTATAGGCCCCATATATCAGTACCTCCTTATATTCGGTATTTTGATGATTTTAGGTACAATATTCAGAGAAATTGTTTAGAATTTCGTATTTGAAATGTCTAATGGGTACTCCAGCCTGTGACATGAAATTGTATATGCAGGTCCAGATCGGCACCTCCTCATATTCGGTATTTCGATGATTTTAGCGACATTATTTACCGGAATCGTTTCATATTTGAAGTTCCAAATGACAGAAAATTTTCTAAGCAAGTCCAGGCCTTCGTATAGCCCCCATATAAAGGTAACTTTAACTATATGCGATATTTTGATGATTTATGCGACATTATTTGCTAGAATTGTTTCATATTTCGTATTTGAAGTTCCTAATGGGTACTACTACAGTCTATGACAGAAAATTGTCTAAGCAAGTCCAGGTCTTCGTATAGCCCCCTTACATCGGTACCTCTACTTATATGCGATATTTTGATGATTTTAACTACATTATTCGCCGTATTTTTCATGTTTCGCATTTGGATATTGTTATGGCCTATGGAAAAAGTTGCCTATGCAGATCCAAGTCCTCGTATAGACTCCAATATAACGGCTATATTCGGTATTTTTTAGATTTCAACAGAATTTAAAATGTATTTTATTTCTTTTTTTTTTTTTTTGAAATTTTAAATTCGTCCCAAATGGTGGAGATAATTCAAAGTACAGCCCGGCCGATTTTACTATAGGTTGATTTGGGTAAAAAAAAAAGATAATAAATAACAGACAAATTAATCGCATTTACCGGGCTCAATGATTAATTTGCGATTCCTATACATTTATTTGTTTATTAAATTGAACTCCATTTACTCATTAGGGGGAGCCATTTCCGATCGTACAAAAACCAAAAGGACTCAGCAAAGTTTTTTGTTGTTTTTTTTTTTTTTAGCAGTATGCATAGTGAATTAGAGTATCATACAGTCGTTTTCGCCCGACTTCTATTCTTTGCTTACGTTTTTATTTATTTGTCTTATCTTGTTTTAAATGTCTTTACAGAATGCCACCTAAGTTGGAAGCCATGATCAATAACGCTTTCACTGTCGACTGTAAATTTATTGTTGGTGAAAATCTTGGAAAAGCCCAAACAATATTCGGACACAAATTAATGTTTATCTTACACTCTGAAGTTTTCGAATCAATGTTGTGTGGGCATTTTCTGGAAGCCAAAAGTACAGAAATTCCCCTACCCGACGATGATCCGAAAACGTTTCGTAATTTACGTCTTATTTTGTATAATCTGCGCGATTCTCAAACAGAAGTGAACGAGTTAGATCTCAGCGATACGATCAGCTTGTATAAGATGTGTGATAAATATATGTTCAAGGCCATCTCAAAATTATGCGTAGAACATTTAAAAAGCTTCATAGAGGATAATCAACGTGATTGCAATAATGCGGTGAAAATTTTTCCCGTTGCTATAGATTTGCGTAACATCGACCTACAGAAAAATGTTGAAACTGTAAGTATTCTTGTCTACTTTAATATGATTTATCTTATGAATATTTTCTCTTACAGACACTATCAATCAATTGTTATCCTCTTCTGTCAAGTCTAAACGATTTGAATCCACAACATTTTTTGAAGTACATTGAACTGCATACCAAACAGAATCAAAATGTGGTAAATCATTTGAAATTATTTGAGGCCATAGAAAACTATTTAACAGTCAACGATTTAATACCCCAAGAGTTGGTGGATACCGGGGAAAGTTTGCAAAAAGCTGCTACAACTAATTTATATGGACAAGAAGCCATGGTGTTACTAAGCCAGGAACGATCATTAGAGTTGTTGCAAAAACTTCTCTCCCACATTGATTTTGTTAAAATCAAAATCGAAGATTACCTCAAAGGGCCGGGTGTTTCGAAAATTCTCACATGGCAACAAAAATATATAGTTTTGTCACAACTATGTACTGTTCCTAAACCATCTACGATAAAATTGTTTCAAAACTAACGTATTTTTTTTTTTTTTTTTTTGGTAAAAATAATATTTTTTTCTACATTGAACAATGAAAAGATGTGTCATAATTTTTTTACGCTTTTGGTTTTCATAATAATTTTAGAGGAGAACTCCTCCGTACCGTGTACCGTTATATGTGGGCTATACGATATCGTGGACCTATACAGAGAATACTCTTCTTGGAGGTAAAGTACTCAAAAGGAACTCCTTCTGTAGATTTGCAGACAATTCCTTTGAGAAAATGTCGCTAAAATCATCAAAATGTTGAATATCGGGAGTTTCCGTTTCATAGACCTGCATATATAGAAAAATAAAAACAAACTATTTTGAAAAGAGGACAATAAAAGTTCAAAAATAAAATAAAAACAATTAAAAAAACTGTAAGTTCGACAGGGCCGAACTTTGAATACCCTCCACCATTTGGTACAAATTTGGCAATTTTTGAAAAAAATAAAATCCTTTAAAATCTTAAAAATACCGAATGTAGCCGTATATTAGGGTCAGTACGACGACGGTGGACCATAGGCATAGGTAACTTTGGTCACAAGCTATTACAATATTCCAATGCGAAACTTGAAAAAAACTGTTTATAATGTAGCTAAAATCATCAAAATTCCGAATATAGGGAGGAGCTATAGGAGTTGTAAAACGTGCACCTGCACAGACAATTTTTTGTCATAGGCTGTAATATCCTTTACGAACATCAAATTCAAAATTTGAAACAATTCCAGTAAATAATGTCACTAAAATCATCAGAATACCGAATATCGGGGGGTACCGTTATATGGGAGCTATACGAAGAATTGGACCTACATGGCCCATTTTCTGCTTTATGCTGTAGTGTCTATTACGAACTTCAAATACAAAATTTGAAACAATTCCGGTAAATAATGTCACTAAAATCATCAGAATACCGAATATCGGGGGGTACCGTTATATGGGAGCTATACGAAGAAGTGGACCTGCATGGGCAATTTTCTGTTTTATGCTGTAGTGTCTATTACGAACTTCAAATACCAAATTTGAAACAATTCCGGTAAATAATCTCGCTAAAATTATCAAAATACTGAATATCGGGGGGTACCGTTATATGGGGGCTATACGAAGAAGTGGACCTACATGGCCCATTTTCTGTTTTATGCTGTAGGGTCTATTACGAACTTCAAATACCAAATTTGAAATAATTCCGGTAAATAATGTCACTAAAATCATCAGAATACCGAATATCGGGGATTCCGTTATATGGGGGCTATACGAAGAAGTGGATCTACATGGCCCATTTTCTGTTTTATGCTGTAGTGTCTATTACGAACTTCAAATACCAAATTTGAAACAATTCCGGTAAATAATGTCGCTAAAATAATCAGAATACCGAATATCGGGGATTCCGTTATATGGGGGCTATAACATCGGTCTGAAGTTGGTTGCAATTTTTTCATCTCACACTGTATCATTAATAACTCCCTTTAAACGGCATCGCATCAGGTCAAAATATTCCACTAAATTATTTCTCGTACATTTCTACTATAGGTCCTAAATAGGATCAAAAGTCGAAAACTTTCCCAAACGCCGGGAATTCAATTCTCCTACCAAGAAAATTTTGGATTGCTTCAATGTACCCACAAAAGCAAATTTTTCCCTTTTTATACCCTACACCACAAGGTGTAGGGTCCGTCCGTCCGTCCGTCCGTCTGTCCATGTATTCTTGTGAACAAAATGCAGGTCGCATTTATTATCCGATTGAGATGAAACAACATTTGTTTGGCCCAAGGACAAACCCTATTGAAATTGGAGATAATCGGACAAAATTTAGATATAGCTCCCATATATATCTTCGTCCGATTTGCCTTTTATTGTGCACCAAACGTGTAATATCAGTCCAAATAGCATGGAATTTTGCACGTTCGATCAGATTGCACCTCAAAATATGTATGCTAAATTTGATCGAAATCGGTTCAGATATAGCTATAGCTCCCATATATATTGTTCATCCGATTTGTTATCTTTGTCCTCCGCAGCCGTAATATGCAATCTGTAACAACATTATTTGGGGAAATATATCAAATACAGCTCAGAAATACATATGCTAAATTTTATCGAGATCGGTTCAGATTTGGATATAGATCCCATATATAAGTTCGTCCGATTTACCTTGGATTGTGCACCGAACGTCTAATATTTGCCCAAATTGGATGAAATATTGCACCTACGACCGAATTGAGTCTAGAAGCTAGTATGTCAAATTTGGTGAAGATCGGTTCAGATATAGCTATAGCTCCCATATATATTATTACCCGATTTCAAATTAATTGTGGACCAAATGGGCAATACAAGTCCGAATTTAAAATATACAAATTCTTCGGCATATTTAGTTCTTTGAACTTTAAATTATAATTAAAATCATAGCGTGTATGATTGAATTCTCCCATAAAAACTTTTAATTGTTATGCGCAGCTCTACTAAATTAGCAAAGTGGTGTAGGGTATCATAAAGTCGGCCCCGCTCGTCTTTAAGAGTATCCATTGCGAGCTTAGAGCATAAAATTTGAAACAATTCCGTTAAATAATTTCGCTAAAATCATGAAAATGCCGAATCTTGAGAGGTACCGATTTATGAGGCCTATACGAAGACGTGGGGCTGTCGTACCTATTACAAGCTTCAAATACTACATTTGAGACAATTCCGGTAAAAATGCTGGTAAAATCTACTACTTTTTGTTTCCTGAGGAGGTACTCCCGAGTCAATTCTGAGAAGAGAAGAGGGGCTGGGGAAAAAAGAAAATCACACACTGGCGGAAGATAGCAAATGTTCGGCTCGGCCTGTCTTAATATATTTTGTTATCTTTTGAATTACGTTTACGATAAAAAGAAATAAAACGCATTAAAAATAATTGTTTGAAGCTTTGAGTGATTCAGAGTGGGTGATTTCCCTCGAAAAAAAAAAAATGATTTTAAGATTGAACGTCCATAGAACAACACAGAACGTCGAATAGTATTGAATTATCTGTGAACACGAAAGCTGATAAATAATTTGAAGAAGTCATAAAAATGAGCGAACAGGGCGAAAAAATATCTGCAACTGAAACAAAAACCGATAAATTAACAGAGATTAGGTATGGAGGAAATTTATGTTTTGCATTTTTTTTTGCTACGCTAAAAATTCTTCTCCTTTTAATGTTATTGCGTTATAGTGACGATTTCATTATCTGCCAATTAGTATATAATTACAACGTGCGAAAAAAAATAATTTTTTCAATAATTACACAAAAAGGCAGCTTTTTTCAAAATATGATTAAAAACTCCCTTTAATATTTAACTAACGAAATGGTGGTTAATTTTACCCTATCATCACATTTTGTTTAAACTCTCTTCTATTGTGATGAATAAAAATACCTGTTTTGTTTAAATGAAAAAGAAAATAATAATAATAAAAATAACAATAATAATAATAATAATAATAATAATAATAATAATAATATAATAATAATAATAATAATAATATTAATATTAATAATAATAATAATAATAATAATAATAATAATAATAATAATAATAATAATAATAATAATAATAATAATAATAATAATGATAATATTAATAATAATAATAATAATAATAATAAAATAATAATAATAATAATAATAATAATAATAATAATAATAATAATAATAATAATAATAATAATAATAATAATAATAATAATAATAATAATAATAATAATAATAATAATAATAATAATAATAATAATAATAATAATAATAATAATAATAATAATAATAATAATAATAATAATAATAATAATAATAGTAATAATAATAATAATAATAATAATAATAATACTAATAATAATAATTATAATTATAATAATAATAAAAATAATAATCATAATAAAATAAAAACATAAATAAATACTAAATAAAAATAATAAATAATAATAATAATAATAATAATAATAATAATAATAATAATAATAATAATAATAATAATAATAATAATAATAATAATAATAATAATAATAATAATAATAATAATAATAATAGTAATAATAATAATAATTATAATAATAATAATAATAAATAAAGTAAAAAAACATAAATAAATAAAATAAAAACCAGTAAGGAAAGCTCAAAAGTCGGGCGGGGCCGACTATATGATACCCTACACCACTATGCATATTTAGTAGAACTCTCGTAAAAAGGTTTATACATGGCATTTCAGAGCTCTATGAGATATTTGGTACAAAATCAAAATCTATCTAATTCTATTGTGCATTTTACGAACTATAGCTATCTCTGAACCGGGTTTCTCCAAATTTTACGTATTAGCTTCTAGACTGGTGATTTGGGCTGATATTGACCATTTAGTGCATCCCGAAATCGGATGAAGATATATATGAGAGCTATATCCAAATCTGAACCGATTTCGATAAAATTTAAAACAGCTATTCCTGTGCTCCATCTAATACCTGGTACCAAATATCACGGTTGTGAAGTGAATATTACGAATGTATGGGACAAAAACTCTAAATCGGATGAAACATATATATGGTTGCTATATCTATATCTGAACCGATTTTCACTAAATTTGATATACTTGCTTCTAGGCCGAACTCGGTTGGGTGTGCCAAAATTCAGGTAATTTGGACTGATAGTGGACATTTGGTGCACATTTAACCCGAATTCGGATGAAGATATATATGGGAGCTATAGCTGTTTCTGAACCGATTTTCTCCAAATTTGTTGTGTTTGCTTTAAGGCTAATCTCAGCCACATGTGCCAAAATTCGGGCCATTTGGGCTGATATTGGCCATTTGGTGGTCAGTTAACCCGAAATCGGATGAAGATATATATGGGAGCTATATCCAAATCTGAACCGATTTCGATAAAATTTAAAACAGCTATTTCTGTGCTCCATCTAATACCTGGTACCAAATATCACGGTTGTGGAGTGCATAGTAGGAATGTGAGGGACTTCAAGATCAAATCGGATGAAAGATATATATGGGAGCTATAGCTATATCTGAACCGATTTTCTCCAAATTTGATATACTTGCTTCTAGGCCGAACTCGGTTGGGTGTGCCAAAATTCAGGTAATTTGGACTGATAGTGGACATTTGGTGCACATTTAACCCGAATTCGGATGAAGATATATATGGGAGCTATAGCTGTTTCTGAACCGATTTTCTCCAAATTTGTTGTGTTTGCTTTAAGGCTAATCTCAGCCACATGTGCCAAAATTCGGGCCATTTGGGCTGATATTGGCCATTTGGTGGTCAGTTAACCCGAAATCGGATGAAGATATATATGGGAGCTATATCCAAATCTGAACCCATTTCGATAAAATTTAAAACAGCTATTTCTGTGCTCCATCTTATACCTGGTACCAAATATCACGGTTGTGGAGTGCATAGTAGGAATGTGAGGGACTTAAAGATCAAATCGGATGAAAGATATATATGGGAGCTATAGCTATATCTGAACCGATTATCTCCAAATTTGATATACTTGCTTCTAGGCCGAACTCGGTTGGGTGTGCCAAAATTCAGGTAATTTGGACTGATAGTGGATATTTGGTGCACATTTAACCCGAAATCGGATGAAGATATATATGGGAGCTATATCTAAATTTGATCCGATTCTCACCAATTTCAATAGGGTTCGTCCTTGGGCCAAAAAAGTATTGTTTGGAAAATTTCATCTGAATCGGATAATAAATGCGACCTGCATTTTGTTCACAAGAATACATGGACAGACGGACGGACAGACGGACGGACGGACGGACTGACATGCATAAATCGACTCAGAAAGTGATTCTATGAAGGTTCTCAAAAGTAACTATGGGTCTATCTCGTTTCCTTCTCCATGTTACAAACAAATGCACAAAGACATAATACCCTTACCACTATGTGGTGTAGGGCATAAACATAAATAAATAAAAAAAAAAATAAATAAAAACAAGTAAAAAATATTAAGTTCTGCCGGACCAAACTTTTAATACCCTCCACCTTATGGTGAAGGAAATATTATTATGACCCACAAATACAAATTTTTAGACATATTCATGGGAAAATGTTCCAAAAAATCATCAAAATACCGCATATCGGGAAATACGGATGTATGGGGCTGTACAAAAACGTGGACATATATATACATACAATATACATATACATACAATGTCTCGCCACACGAACTAGAACCCATTATGACATACAAATACCAACTTTCAGACAAATCCGTAAAAAAAATGTGGCAAAAATCATCAAAATACCGAATATTATGAGGTAACGTTATGTGGGGACTTCAAATACCAAAATTGAAACAATTCCGGTGACTAATGCCACTAAAATCATCAAAATACCGGGGATGTACCGTTATACAGGGTGAGATAAAAAATCTGCAACAAAGTCAAACGCCATAATGTTTATTTTTTTATATTTTTTTAAATGAAAGCAAAAAAATGTCGGAAATAGCATCAAATTTTAGAATAGGTTTAGATTTGTTCGATTTGGTCACCTTTGCACGAATTATGGCCTACAAACAGCCAACTAAACAGTTACACTCTATCCGAATGTTGCTCTGCGGTATTTTGGCCCATTTTTTTTGTGCCAACATTGCTTTCCAAAATACTCCAGACACAATAGTCCAACGGTTTGGTATCCGGAGATTTTGGTGGTCATTGTGCGCTGGAAATGAAGCGAGGAACCTCATTTTGTAACCATTCTTGGGTGGCGCTTGCTGAGTGCGATGGTGCTGAGTCCTGTTGTCCAATGTCCAAGGTCTGCGTCCAAAATGTTTGCGTGTTCATGGCTTTAATACACCCTTCAAAATATTTTCTGATACCACGGTCGATTAATGCGAGCGGAGAGCGACCATCGGCTGTTATGGCTACTCATACCGTCACTACGGTCGGCGTTTCAGTTCTGGTGGCCAACCGTAGGTGCACATTTTCAGCTGACCTCTTTGGCAAGTAAACACGATAATTTTTTTTTTTTGTTTAAAAACTGCTGGACAACGAATGTTTTCTCATCGGAGAAAACCAAATTCGGCAGTTCACCACTTTCGACGAAGCAAAGCAACTATTTAGCTCTTTGAGTCTATTCTTTTCTATATATATATATATATATATATATATATATATATATATATATATATATATATATATATATATATATATATATATATATATATATATATATATATATTATATATATAATTTATCTGATATCTGGTACCAAAGATCATTGTTGTTGAGTGCATATTACGCATGTGAGGGACCTTAAACCCCAAATGTGGGAGCTATAGCCAAATCAAAACCGATTTGATGTACATGTTTCTAGACTGAATTCGGTAGGATGTGCCAAAAATTCAGATCATTTGAACTAATATTGGCAATTTGGAGCACAATTAACCCGAGATCGGTTGAAAATACATATGGAAGCCATATCTAAATTCTGACCGATTATCTCCATTTTCAATAGGATTTGTCCTTGGGCAAAAAAAAAAAATATTTGTGCAAAATAACATCTCGATTGGACAAGACGGACGGACTTCTGACTGTGACTCACTAAGTTAGTCCGATATAAATTCATGTTCTTTCCATACGGTTGGTTTTTTATACCCTCCACCATACTAAGTTTGTCATTCCGTTTGTAACACCTCAAAATATACATTTTAGACCCCACCAATTGTATATATATATATATATATATATATATATATATATATATATATATATATATATATATATATATATATATATATATATATATATATATATATATATATATATAAATATATATATATATATATATATATATATATATATATATATATATATATATATATATATATATATATATATATATAATATATATATATCTATATATATATGGACCATGTAGGTCCACGTCTTCGTATAGCCCCCATGTAAGGGTACCTCCCGATATTCGGTATTTTGATGATTTTACTGACATTATTCACCGGAATTATTTCAAATATTGTATTTGAAGTTCGTAATGGATACTACAGCCTATGACAGAAAATTGTTTGTGCAGGTGCACGTCTTCGTATGGCCCTCATATAACGGTACCTCCCGATATTCGGTATTTTGATGATTTTAGTGACATTACTCACCGGAATTGTTTCAAATTTGATATTTGAAGTTCGTAATGGATACTACAGCCTATGACAGAAAATTGTCTGTGTAGGTCAACGTCGTCGTATTGCCCCATATAACGGTACCTACTAATATTCGGTATTTTGATGATTTTAGCGTCATTTTCAACGGAATTGTTTGAAATTTGGTTTTTAGGGTTCGTAATGGATACTACAGCCTAAGACGGAAAAGTGTCTGTGCAGGTCAACGTTGTCGTATTGTCCCATATAACGGTACCTACTAATATTCGGTATTTTGATGATTTTTGTGATATTATTCACCGGAATCGTTTCAAATTTCCTTTTTGGCGTTCGTAATGGATACTACAGCCTAATGTCCACGTCTTCGTATAGCCCCCATATAAGGGTACCTACCGATATTTGGTATTTTGATGATTTTAGGGACATTTTTCACAAGAATTGCTTCAAATTTGGTATTGGTAAAAATTGTCAAATTCGTTCCAAGTGGTGGAGGGTATTCAAAGTTTGGTCCGTCCGAACTTATAGCTTTGTTATTTGTTAAGTATTTTATCTTCTGTTTAATTTCATTACAGAATGCCAGCTAAGTTTGAAGCAATATATAAATATATATATATATATATATATATATATATATATATAAATATATATATATATATATATATATATATATATATATATATATATATATATATATATATATATATATATATATATAAATATATATATATCTATATATATATGGACCATGTAGGTCCACGTCTTCGTATAGCCCCCATGTAAGGGTACCTCCCGATATTCGGTATTTTGATGATTTTACTGACATTATTCACCGGAATTATTTCAAATATTGTATTTGAAGTTCGTAATGGATACTACAGCCTATGACAGAAAATTGTTTGTGCAGGTGCACGTCTTCGTATGGCCCTCATATAACGGTACCTCCCGATATTCGGTATTTTGATGATTTTAGTGACATTACTCACCGGAATTGTTTCAAATTTGATATTTGAAGTTCGTAATGGATACTACAGCCTATGACAGAAAATTGTCTGTGTAGGTCAACGTCGTCGTATTGCCCCATATAACGGTACCTACTAATATTCGGTATTTTGATGATTTTAGCGTCATTTTCAACGGAATTGTTTGAAATTTGGTTTTTAGGGTTCGTAATGGATACTACAGCCTAAGACGGAAAAGTGTCTGTGCAGGTCAACGTTGTCGTATTGTCCCATATAACGGTACCTACTAATATTCGGTATTTTGATGATTTTTGTGATATTATTCACCGGAATCGTTTCAAATTTCCTTTTTGGCGTTCGTAATGGATACTACAGCCTAATGTCCACGTCTTCGTATAGCCCCCATATAAGGGTACCTACCGATATTTGGTATTTTGATGATTTTAGGGACATTTTTCACAAGAATTGCTTCAAATTTGGTATTGGTAAAAATTGTCAAATTCGTTCCAAGTGGTGGAGGGTATTCAAAGTTTGGTCCGTCCGAACTTATAGCTTTGTTATTTGTTAAGTATTTTATCTTCTGTTTAATTTCATTACAGAATGCCAGCTAAGTTTGAAGCAATGATCAATACTGCCTTCACTGTCGATTGTAAATTTATTGTTGGTGAAAATCTTGGACCAGCCCAAGCCATATTCGGACATAAATTAATGTTTACCTTAAATTCTGAAGTTTTCGAATCAATGTTGTGCGGGCATTTTCTGGAAGCCAAAAGTACAGAAATTCCCCTACCAGACGATGATCCGAAAACGTTTCGTAATTTACGACGTATTTTGTATAATCTACGCGATTCCCAAACAGAAGTGAACGAGTTAGATCTCAGCGATACGATCAGCTTGTATAAGATGTGTGATAAATATATGTTCAAGGCCATCTCAAAATTATGTGCTGAACATTTAAAAAGTTTTCTCGAAACAGATGATGACAATCAATTGGTAATCATTTTTGCTGCTGCCATGGAACTACATAACTCCCCGCTATTGGAAGATGTTAAAACGGTAAGGGGTTTAATCCATTATCAAATGATTTCTCCTGTGACAATTTTCTCGTACAGAAACTATCTGCTATTCAATACGGTCTTTTGCCAAGCCTTAAGGACTTAAATCCATTACAGTTTATGGAATACCTTGAATTGTATACCAAACAAAATGAAAAGTCGGTACATCATTTGGACATATTTAAGGCGATAGAAAACTATTTAACAGCTAACGATTTAATACCCCAAGAATTGTTGGATACCGGGGAACGTTTGCAAAATGCTGCCACAACTAATCTGTATGGACAAGAAGCCATGGTGTCACTAAGCCAGGAACGATCATTAGAGTTATTGCAAAAACTTCTCTCGCACATTGATTTTGTTAAAATCAAAATTGAAGATTACCTCACCGGGCCGGGTGTTTCGAAAATTCTCACATGGCAACAAAAATATATTATTTTATCGCAAATATGCATAGAGCCTAAACCGTCTACGATTAAGTTGTTTCTAAACTAAATTATTTTTATATTAATTGTATAATTTTTATATAGTTGAATAAAATATTATGTGTATACCCTCCATGTGATATATCGGTCCACAACATTGTGTAACCCATATATAACGCTACCGCCCGAATTTCGTTATGTTGATGATTTTAGTCACATTTTTTGTATGGAATTTTCTGAAATTCTACACAAATGAAGTTCTCTGTGAGTACTTTACCGCCTGAAGGAGAAGTGTCTATATAGATCCTCGATTTCGTTTATCCCCCATATAACCGTACCCCCCGATATTCAGTATTCTTATGCCACATTTTTCAATGGAATTGTCTGAAAATCAATACAATGAGTTCCTTGTGCGTACTTTACCGCTTGAAAGAGAAGTGTCTATATAGATCCTCGATACCGTATATCCCCCATATAACGGACTTGTTTCAACTTTCGTATATAAAGTTCGGAACTATTGCTACAGCTTATTACACAAATTACTTATACAGGACCACATCTTCACATAACCCCAAATGGTTTGGGTGGCATTTTTCAACGGAGTTTTTTTGTTTTTGAATTTTTTCAAATTTCTTCCAAATGGTGGAGGGTATAAATAGTTCGTCCCGGCCGAAAAAAGAAATTGGAAAAATTTGGCAAAAATCATCAACATACAGACTACCCGGAGATACCGTCATATGGGGGCTATACCAAAACGCAACAAAGTCAAACGCCATAATTTTTACATATCTTTTTTTAATTTTATTGAATGAAAGCAAAAAACGGCCAATGAAACCTTCACACGCTGCCCGAATGTTGCTCTGCGGTATTTTGACCCATTCCCGGCGAAACGCTTGCTTGAAGTGATCGCCACTTTGGTATTTTTGAATGCCAACCTTGCTTTCCAAAATACTCCAGACATAATAGTCCAACGGATTGGTATCCGGAGATTTTTGTGGCCATTGTGCGCTGGAATCATTTTGTAACCATTCTTGGGTGGCGCGTGCTGAGTGCGATGGTTCTGAGTCCTGTAGAAATGTCCATGATCTGCGGCCAAAATGTTTGCGTGCCCAATACACCCTCCAGAATATTTTCGCAATAATATTCGGTATTTATTCTGATTAATCGATTAATAGCAGCGGAGAGCGAACATCGGTTGTTATGGCCGTCCACACCATCACCATGGCCGGCGCTTGGGTTCTGGTGGCAAAACGAAGATGCACATTTTCAGCTGACCTCTTTGGCAAGCAAACACAATCATTTGGTTTGTTTAAAAACTGCTGGACAACGAATGTTTTCTCATCGGAGAAACCAAAATTCGGCAGTTCACCACTTTCGGCCTAGCGAATTAACTCTTTAGCTCTTTTGAGTCTATTTTCATTCTGTTGCGGTGTAAGTCTTTGCACTTTTTGGAATTTCAATGGCTTTACCCAGAGCTAATTTTGCAATATTTGCCGAATGAATTATTGCGATATATTCAGCTCACGACTCATTTTTTGGCAACTGGGACGCGGGTTTCAATCAAGTCGGTTCTTTACATTTCGAACCATTTCTGCTGATGTTGTTGTTTTCTTAGGTCCATTTCCTAGACGCTACCATTATCACAGTGACGAACCATGGTACGAGACATAAAAGATTTATTCACATTTAAATGCTGGAGTGCTTTAACTATAGCCATTTGTGGGTTTCCGGCCAAATATAAAAAAATCACACTTTCATGCTTGAATTTCATCACCAATAACTTTTTTTCTGGAAAATTCTCACCAAAATGCTCTTGTACGCTTGTAAACAATACAATGAGCTGTCACTGGAATAATTTTAACAGCTGTCGGACGAGTGGCTTAGAAATGACAGCAGTCTAAAGTTGGTTGTTGTTTTTTCATCTCACCGTGCATATATAATATGTTCCGCCACCGGAGCTACAACCCATTATAAACTACAAATACCTGTTTTTAGACAAATCTGTGAATAAATGTAGAAAAAAACCATTAAAATACCGAATCTTGGGAGGTACCGTTATATGGGGGCTGTACAGAAACGTGAACAGATTTTGAAGCTCTAAATCAAATAATGTGGGCTGTATCGTGATTTCAATAGACAGACAGACATCATTAAATCGACTTAGAATTTTATGCTGGTAATGAATATGTGTACTTTATGGGGTCTACGACGAATATATAGGGATGTTACAAACGGAATGACAAATAATATACCCTCCTTTGCAAGGTGGTGGGTATAAAAGCAATTGAAGTTAATGGTAGTAGAATACAAAGAAAACCCGATTATTAATTCTCTCTTATGTGTTCTCTTTTGCGGTTTCATGTGCTAGCACACGGTTTTGAGAAGTTATAAACAGCTTGAACCTCATTTATAGTCGGTTCCGAACGAACGCAGTTTTATGTTACACACATTGCCAAAGACATATAATATAATAAGATGGGACATTACATTGTTAGTCGAGATAAACTTGTCGAACTCAATGTTTATGGAATACGCTACTGAATCAGAGATACATACTATACTGTGCACAATAAACACAAGTAAAAGTGCAGGGATGGATAACATAAGAGCAATTGATCTAAAAAACAATGCCACTATTCTTACACCAATGATTACAAACCTCATAAATGGAAGTATAAGAGAGCCTACTGTGCTACTAATGTTAAAAGAATCTATTATTAGACCCATATATAAAGGTGGCTGTACAAAATACTTTGTACATACTTTTGAGTGCGTACAAAATACTTTGTACTCATTGGGGCAAAAACAAAGCAAAAAAGCCACAGGGGCAAAATAAATAAAAAAGCCATAGAGGCATAATTTAAAAAAATATATACATATTTCAAAAAAAGACCCAAAGGGCAAAAATTACAAAACGAGCCATAGGGGCAAAACCAAAAAAAAAAAAAAAAAAAAACAACTTAAAAAAATAGATAAGAAAGAAAATAAAAGAAAGACATACAATTTTGAAAAGAGGAAATTAAAAGTCCTGAAAAAAAAATAAAATTAAAAAAGCCAAGAAGGCAACGTCAAAAAAAACCAAAAGAAACAAAAAAGAAAAATATACAACAACAAAGCAAAATATGATGCAAAAGGAGTTCCAAAAACAAAAACTCCAAGAGGGGGAGCGTGAGCTTCAGAAAGCGAACAAAACAACAGTGTCAGGAGGCATTGAGCTCGAAAATCCTGGCATCCTGACAGCAACAATGCTGCAACAGCTTCGGGCGTTCCAGAAGGTGATGCTGCAGCAGCAGCAGGAGCAAATGAAGTCGATTATGGAAGAAATTGAGCAGATGTTCCTAATGCAGAACTCCACCTAAAATAAAAAACGGGACAAGGAACAAAAGAAAAGGCAAGTCGTCGAAGCTGGGAAAGATGACTTGTCCAAACAACTATCAAGTGTAAGAGAGGGAAACAATTCTGTCGAACTAAAACAGATTACAAGCTTGGAAGGAAATTCTGGAAATTTTTTCCCGCCGGCAAGTCCTTATTTTGAGGAACGAGATGTGGAAGGAAATTCTGGTGTCGCACCCACACAGACTGATGAAAAACCACTCCAGGAGGAACATATCAAGTTACATCAAAATAATCGAAAAGTGGAAAAAGAAGAAAAGCCGCTGCGCACAGAAGGATCCAACATTTTTGACGAATATGTTGATTACGATGACGATTTTAGAGGAAAAGAAAGCATAGCAGAAGAGGAAAAAGAAGGTAAGTCTCTACGTACAGAAGGCCCCATCATTTTCAACGAATATGGAAAAGAATACAGCGAAGAAGTGGGTATAGCCGAACAAAGTTCTCTGTTTCCGGTCCCTGAAGGGTATTGCCTTACAGAAATCAAGAGCAAATCAACAATGGCCGTGAGAATGGACGAATCGGAGCATATTATTTAGCCATTAACTATATTCTGCAACGTGGATGATGACAGTCTTCAACGATGGACTATTTATTCGGCAGCATGGAAAATGAAGCCGGCAGATAAAGGTGGTGGCATTGACAAGAAGGACTGGACAAAGAAATGGAGTCGTTTCCTGGAAGCAGTTACTTAATTGAATATTTATATTGTTTTAGCATATATAGTTAGTTTCCTTTTCATATTTTTATATTTAAAAATTTTATAGTATATATTTGTTCAACTTTATAAAAATACAGTCCACTAAAATATGCGGGTTTAAGCCGCCCGGGAGAATGTACAAAATACATAACATACATAACATAATACTTTTGAGTGCGGTTGAGGCGCTGGGAAAAACTAGCAATAAACAATCAATACTCAAAAATATTTCCCAGCCGCCATAAAATACCACATGTGAACAATTCGGTGATCATGTGCGCTGACGCATACGATAATGTGTCAGATAATAAAGGTTATGACCCAAACACACAGATGTCGACGCTCTCAGTAGATGCCAAAGACCACTAGAATGAAATTATAAGCAGCCCTGCAATGTTCTCCATTCAATATTAGAATAGATAAGAACAATTGTGTGGCTGCGACTAGGTTAAGTTAGATTAGTTTCAGTAGTACGTAAGGGAAATATTTTTGAAATAAAACTAGAATTGAAATAACACCCAAACCATTCGGTTGGTTTTCTTTTCTCGCCTCTTACAGTGGCAACATATCAGATTATTGTAACTACAGACCAATCTCTATTCTGCCTATATTGGAAAAAGTTTTAGAAGAGATAATTGTACGGAGACTGAACAGTTTCTCTAAAAAAATATAAGATAATAAATATAAATCAATATGTACTGTAATAAACTACTTGGCCATTTTAGCAATTACATAAACAAAACACTCAGTTAACAAAATAATTGCATTGCACTTTTTATAGATTTCAGCAAAGCTTTTGACACACTATCACGTGAAAAAATAGTGAATGCATTAGATAACACTGGGATAAGAGGTCATTGCTTAAGATGGTTCCAAGAATATCTTTCATATATCTATCTTTCACCCAGATCTGTCAACGTCAAAATTGATAATACTAACAGCAATAAGCTATCTACTCGTTGCGGAGTTCCCCAAGGATCAAAACTAGAACCAATTTTGTAGCTTATATACACCAATGAAGTGACTAAGCATCTACGTCAAA